TGTGTGTGTGTGTGTGTGTGTGTGTGTGTGTGTGTGTGTGTGTGTGTGTGTGTGTGTGTGTGTGTGCCTAGCTGGAGAAAGGTCCAAGTTGTCTGCAAAGCAATTTTTTGCAACGTGGTAAAAAGGCCATCACAGTTGTAAGCTGCTTGGTCAAATAATATGTGGAGTTCCATCAGAAAACACACACTTAACGATTTCTTAATAATCTATTTAAAGGATTTGGAGACACTTTTGTCTAATTTTTTAAAATTATATTTTTTGCAACAGGATTTTCTTTACTAAAGGCTAATAATGTGCTAGAAAGTGGCAAACTCTGTTTTTGCACACTGTGATAAAAATGTGGCATATCTAGCTAGATCTATTCAATATACTTTTTGTATTTCAAAACGTAAAAACCAGCGTATTCAGCGAACAATTTGTTCCAAGAAATTGCCTTTATTTCAATGTTTAATTTATTCAAACTTCCGACAACTAAGGACCTTTCTCCAGGCTCATACACACATATTATACTTAGAAACTTGTTATTTTGATGTTGCAAAATGCTGTCCGCGGTTTTATGCACCAAAAAAAATTATGAAATTATGCAAACTGAGCCCAAAACTGTGAAATTATGCGATTCTGTTAATTTTAACAAAGAATGATAAAGGAAAAAAAATCTGAAATTATGCAAAAAAAAATGATCAAAATTTGCTGAATTATGCGGGGTACATAAAACCAAGGGGACAGGAAATGGTCTATATCGTGTTGGAGGTGGTGAAAAAATTAAGACATTAAAACTTTACGACTATGATTCCCCCCCCCCCCTCCCCCACAGTTCACAATCACATTGCTGTTCGCCTGCACGAGGACAAGGAGGAGGAAGTTGCTCGATTTTCTGAATGGACGGCCGGGCCTCATCTTGTGAGTTACGTCCTTTTAATGATAAATGAACGGATAGATGGATGGATGGATGGACGGACGGACGGACGGACGTACTGGCGTACGGGTGGACGGGAGGGTTAGATAGATAGATAGATAGATAGATAGATAGATAGATAGATAGATAGATAGATGGATAGATAGATAGATAGACAGATAGATAGATAGATAGACAGATAGATAGATAGATAGATAGATAGATAGATAGATAGATAGATAGA